AAGAGAAAGTAATGTGTACTCACCTTGCGAACAGGAGGATTGTTTTTAGACCCTGTTGAAAGGTAGATGTACTGGTTTTTGTCATACTCCAGACTGACTGTACTGGTCAAGAGGAATTTGGCAGATTGAAGTCCAATCTAAGAAAAATGGGATGAGCTGAGCCTGACTCAGGTGTTGTTTGATTTAACAGGGAAATTATTTTATTTAAAGATTTATAACATTTCCTCAGGAACAGCTGGGAAAAACATTAATGAAACTTTTAGCATAGACTTCCCATCAATTACCTGCTCTATCCATCCTGAACTGAGGTTGGCAGAGATTTCATATGTCCTACTCTGCAGTCTTCCCATAAATGTGCTGCACTTGAACACCCTGCACATGGCTACAGAGCAGTCCTGTGGGTGATTTAAAAACTGAATGAAACAAGTTTCTCATCCACTTTAATGTTAGTTTAAGAATCTATAACATGGTTCAGTTTAAACAGGTAAGTAGCTAAAGTGCAGAAGCATACTTACCACCACTTTATCCTTTTGTATCTTTGGAACAAAATCTTTGACACTTGGTGCTTCATCATTTTCACTTTGACAGTCTGAAATCTGAAATACGTTTTATATACTGAAGTTTCATTGCTTCTAATTTAACACATGCATCCATCCTTAGCCATTTTTGGAGTAAATCTTCAGAAATGTATATTACCTGTAGGCTGCTCAAATCCACCCAAATATCTTTTTCACCAAGCTTCACTGGAACCCTAATCGCCACACTAAAATGAAGTGCCCTGATATCATTTGTAACCTAAACGGATAAAGAAAAGGGCAACCAAGCATTACAGTTACGTCTAAATCACACAATGAACTTTTAAAGATACAGATGGAAGTTCTATTTTACCTTGATTGATTGTTGGACTGGTTTCTGCAAATTATTTGTTCCAAATGTGAAATTGTTGTAGCTGAGGGAGCTAATCAGACATATTTAAAACATTATATAAATATTATGCAGGGCAACGTTTGTTAATTTTTCAGTGATTTCTTTTATGTCAAATTAAAAAAGCATGCACCTTTCAAATGTCATAAAAATGCTGTATTTCACATCAATCCACTTCTTTATGTAGAGTTCACTTGTAGGGGCATGCTCCTGATTTCCACTGAAAGTTGAAATTAGTTTTATTGTTTATGTAGGGCTATGGCATAAATGAGCAATACCTGGACTAAAGGAAGAGTACCTGGTGGCATTTGCAGTGACAAAGATCTTCCTCTCAAGTTGATTGGTGGTGTCAATCCCATAGGAGACAATGAAGGAAGCCTTAATTGAGAGATATGATAATTAGTCCTCTTTGTGCTGTAAACTATAAAAAGATTATAGACCAAAAATGATAAAAGATGTTCTGTACCAATGTGATAAAGAAACAAACCTTAGTTTTGCTCTTGAAAATTGGCTTGTCAATAGTGCAGTCTGTCCTTCCTCGTGATAAACCATCTTCACTGTCCAAAGAGTTGCACTCAATTCTTCCCTTTATTATAAAATAAAATGACTGCTGGATGCACTGGGAGAGCAGCAAATCAGTGATGAACTGATACAGACTTGATCCTGCTCTCTTACCTGCTGAATGGTGAACTTCCTGTAGGAGAGTCCAGCTGGGTACGTGAGAATAACACGGCTGTTGTAGGAGTTTTCTCCTCTGTTCTCCACTGTGACTGTGACATCCAAAAGCTCATCAATGCCCACTTTAACCTCTGGGGATCTGTCAGCATATGAAGAAGGGCGAGAATAAAGTGTGTAAAAAAGCAAGACTAATACCATTTAACTTACTTCTAAGTAATCTCACAGTAATGTATAGCTTTGAGCTCATTGCTAGAATAGTAACAAAGGTTATGTTACGTGGGGTAGCATTTTTATTATAGGAATTTACTAAGTTAATATGCCAATTTGCTTATTAGCACAAAATCCAAAGAACAACTGAATGTTTCATCAGTTTTACTAATATTAGTGATGGTGTATTATTTAAATTTAAGTGAGAAGTAAATAAAACATGCCACTAACAACATGTTCTAAGAAAAGCTAATTTTTGTTTTTCTGTTCACGTCAAGGTTTATTTATCTTCAGGAACTGAAATTTGAAAGACAAGATAATATAGACTAATGAACTGTGCACACTGTAGTCAATTTTATTGTACTCTTTGACATAACAGCTCTAATTTTGTAACTGTGCCTCACCTGGTGAAGCCAAAATCTACTTTCAGCTTGTCAACACATTTGTTGTCAGTGCCACAGTTGATCTCAAACTCCAACTGTGAAAGAAAGCATGATGTAAACTTTTTATATTATTTTCAGACTAAATAGCACAATATAGGTGAAGCCACTGTCACTTTTTCTAACTATATTTTTTCTCTCCAAAAGCTATTGGTCAATCGCACAGTAGGAATATTAAAGTAAGTAAGATCAAACTAAAGCCATCTCTTTACTTCAGTTAATAAGGTGTCTATAAAGGTTACTTACAGGATAAATGGTTGTTGTTTGAGCCTGCGGGGCAAGACTTGGCCTAAGATTTGTGTTTGAGGGCAAACCATCAAGCATGAATTTAAGCTCATTGGACAGTGCATTGAGAGCATCTTCTGGACAGGTCTGCAAGAAGAAAGCAATGTTAGGTTTGTAGCAGGACTCTTAAAAACTAAATGGAAATTGAACTTTACTGGTTGTATTATTTTTTCTGTTGCTGTTATTGGGTTTTACCTCAATAAGGAATTTTACAGTTGAACACTTTTTCTTTGTTAAGTCAACAATGACTGATCCAGACTGTTCTTGTTGTTTCCTGCTGACATAAGCTCGGTTGTTTGGAGGCTTGCGAGTGGTATCCACTGTTAAAGTATAATTAATCCTCGCTTCAGCTGGAATAGATCAGAGTTTGGTTTAAACTCTACAAATGTGCAAACACTAAAAATAAATGGGCAATGACTTTGTGTTACAGAAAAAGCTGATGAACCTGTGTTGACTGTAGACAGTCTGCTCATGGTAAAGCAGACTGTAGCTGTGTTCTCCAATGGTTTTGAGCAGTTTACATTATGAGTAGGGATTTGGTTTGGGCTGAATGACACTTCCGGTTCAATCATCACTATGGGTCTTGATCTGGAAAGTAGGAAAACACGAGTGAACAAGATTTGGCTCTTTAAATAGTACCAAACTAAAAGCTGCCCTTAAATTGTATGTGCTGACCTGAATTAATAACAACACTTTCCTTTGTTCTACAAACATGTCACAGTTTACAAACCTCAAAAGCTTTGAGTTATATTTAAATATGCTTTTTGACTTGATCAGAAATGCTTTATGGAATCATTCCTCATAAATCACTTAATGAAATGTCTAGGTGTAGGTGTACAGATTTTGTGTACAACATTTTACAGATGTTGACTAAATCAGCAGCCCCTAACCTTTTTTGCACCACGGACCGGTTTACTGTCAGACAATATATTCATGGACTGGCTTTTAAGGTGTTGCGGATAAATACAACAAAATAAAATGAGATGACCAAGAAAAAAACTGTGGTATTTTGTAAATATAATAATAAACGCAAATTCACTGTGTAACTTTATTAGCAGCATCCTCCTGAAATGCGCCAACAACATTGAGAGTAACATCCTCTTTTCTCTGACCCTTAATCCTCCTTAGTCGCTATGGTAACGCATAAACATTTCTTTCAAAATAAGACACACAACTACAACATAGGAAAAGACCCAGAGAAACCGAGTTAACGATAAAAACCCTGAAAACCATAAATTTCACACCTGAGCCTCAACTCTCGGGGCCCGGTACCCAATGACTCACAAACCGGCTCGCAGGTTGGACTAAATGATAACTATTTCATCATGTTAGCAGTGTTGAATTACATAATGTTTTATGAAATCTTCAGCATTTTGGGTATTGCATGCATTTCACATTTCATTTTGAGATTTGAATCAAACTCACACAGGCTGTTATCCAAGGTGTTTAACCAACCACATTTATTGCTTCTCTAATCAGCAGGCAAGGCTCTAGAGTGCGACCAATTTGGTCGCAAATGCGAAATTGAACAGTTGGTGTGACCAACTGTTCGAGTAACAAAAAAAAAAGTCTCTGTGTGGTCAACAACAGACAAACATTATGCCCCTATCATGGTCTAAACCAATCAGAGATAGTCAGGGGTAGGACCTCTGATTAGGCGTGGTCCAGACATTCATGTAGTGCGTGTGTACGTTTGAAAGTGCAAGCGGATAGAGAGAGGTGAGTAGCTTGAATAAAGCATTTTCGATTCATTAAATCCTGAATCAACTTTTAAATATAAATGTATTTTGCCAGAATTGCCAGAATCTCAGGTTAAAGCTCACAAAACTATTTCAACAACCACCAAACACCAAACAGTAAATGGGAGAGGGTAAATGGATTCCACACAAAGACGTAAACACAGAGCGCGGACCCGACGCATCAGAATCAGCTTTCTCTTTCTCGGCTTTCTTACCCGACGGCACGCAGACGAACACGCCATCGGTGAGCTGTCGGCTTTGCGTCGGGTCCGCGCTGTGTTTACGTCTTTTTTGCGCTAGATTCTGAGCTGCAGGTTTTGTCTTTCCCCAACCAAAATTCACTGAACCAGCAGCAAAAGAAGCAGCAAACTACGCTTCACATTTGATAAACATCGTCATGAACTCACTCTTACTTTTGCTGTTTTGCTTCCACCACGATAAAAATCACACTTCATGCACAGCTCTCTCTCTCTGTGTACTTCAAGAACAGTTTCCCATCTCAAATCTCTGTTTTCTGCATTATTCATCCGCTTATTACCCACCAGTC